TATGTAAAATTTTGTGTAATTACATTTTAATTCAAATGTATCAAGTTGGTGTATCATGCTTAATGAGATGACCAATAGTATTTTAAAATCTCAAAAGATTGTCAATGACAAATTTTGCATTTTTTAAAACTTGCTAATGCTAGTTCATCATCCAATATATACTTTTAAAATAATCTCTCAAATAAAGAATAAATAAATATATATCATTCTATATAATAATACTTAAATCTGAGTTCTCAGTTTATTATAACTGTCAGCATTACTGACTTAAAAATTTCACTAAAAAATTTCACTGTTAGATTAAAGTTAGATTTTGCTATTAAGTTAAGCCAAAAAGAGCATTAGTAGTACCAAAGTTTTACAAGAAAAACTTTTATTAGTCACAAAAGGTGGTTTTATAGGTAAAATGTTGAGTTATGTTCCTTTTTTTTTATCTTGCTTTTTTTTTTAAATATGATTGCCAGCAAAATTTTTTAGGTTGGTAATGCAAGAACAGTTATTTATTATCAGGCTCCCACATCCTGTCGGACTTAAACTCGGCATGATTGTCAGATATGGTTTGCAGCCGTTCGGTTTTTTTCTTTGTTTCTTTTGTAAGACCAAATAAAAAACCATTTGTCTTAGGAATAACTGAAAACAGCACTATCACCTTACTTCGGTCCTTAGATTGTGTGATGTGGGGTTTACACTAACAGTAGTTAAGTAGATTTTTTGTAAGAAACTGGTGTTTTCTTTATTTGATGTCTCTTTTATTTGCTACTTACAACTTGAACATATTTTTGATAACATTTCAAATTAATTTAATACAAATTTATATCTTACAAATCATATTAAATAAGTTCTCAACTGTTGATTCAGCAAAAAAACAAATAAATAGAATAACAATTTTAAATTTTAGGGGATATGTCGAAACATGTGACTCACCCCGATTGTTGATAAAAGTTATGTTTTTATAGTAAACTTCAAATATACCATTCCGCCTGAGGGTCTTTAAAAACTTTTATATACTTAAGAAATCCAGTTATCAAAACAGCTAGCAATGATATAATGTATGGTAAAAAATAAGGATATCTTATTTTATCACGTTCACTAGACGGTATAGGGAATAATGGAGCAAGAGTAATAAAAACTGAACACAGAATGAGAATAGGTAAATATATTCTATGATAATGTTCGTCTATCGAGAGAAACTAGTTTAAAGTAAAATAAATTGATTAAAATTAAAGCATTAATAAATTAAACAAGTATAAATAATTAATTTAACTCACAATTAAATAACATGCGCTAACACCATAAAGCAGCATAACCAAGTACTCAGACATTTCGGAAAAAAAAGAAAAGACATCTACAGCTGGAAAGAGGATAATTAAAATCGAGCAATAAATGAACTGCATAGATAAATAACGGTACGATTTTTGATTTCTTCGAAAACAAATATCATGTATTTTTGGTATATCCTGAAATTCTTTAAAACATAATGAACTCCTATTAAATTTATAATATATGAATCATAATAAGAATTGTGGCTAAATATTATCATATTAAGTATAAAAATTCAATAAGCCTACATCAAGATCATTGAATCCACGGAACTAAAAGAAGAAATTACGATAAGTGATGACATAAACTTTCTTCCGGATTCACCAAATAATTTTATTCCATAATCAATAGCAATACTTTCATTAGAATTGTTTGGATCCGCTATAGTCTTTGGATCAACTATTGATATAAAAGCAGCATTTACAATAAAATCTATACAGTAAAATAGTTGGCATTATTAAAAATAAACTTGAAATAATTTCAAATGGAGTAAATAGATCATAATAGGCAACTTACAAAGTACAAAAGAGATAGAAACATTAATAAGTGCTGAATATTTTCGGAACGGGCTTTGAATCATCAACTCCTCGGATGAATCTAAAATGACCCACCTAGTATCGCCACCAAAATCATGTACGTAGTCGCTTCTTGAATTTCAATCTGAGTATTAATATAATAAT